CCACGGCCAAACAACGACCTATGCAACCTGCCCTTGGTCGCCCACGCTCCAACCTCTGAGCCGACAGTTTTGGCTACCGGTCTGTGCCCTGCCCCCGACCGTGCACCTTGTAGACTCCCCATAAACCCCGTTAGGACTCTTCCATAAAAAGGACGCCCCGCTACACGACAAAGTGCAATGGGGTAAGACGCAGCCTTTGGCTGCGAAATGAACGATACACTTAAAAAAAGAAGGGATAATTTGCGAAATACCCCCATCAGTTGAGGTATATGCCAAAATGCCCCTAAAAGATGTGGGTAGAGCGGAATGCCCTTTTGGGCCGAATTCTTTCTGTTATGCCCCTGTCAGGCGGGTGTGCAAATGTGCAATCTGGACCTCGCCGTTGGGGCATGGCCTTTTGCAACTGGGCCGTAGGAAAGTTGCCAAGTTCTGGGTATTTTGCAAAGTTGGATGGTACTCGGTAGGGGTATATCACAAAGATGGGGGCTCCAACCGACGCGAGGGGTATTTCACAAATTTTTCTGTTTGTCAGAGGTGCATTCCGGTCGACCCACATCTGTCAGGGGCATTTTGGCACATATCTCAACTTACGGGGGTGTTTTGCAAATTATCCCAACGATGCTATTCGAAGCTCCCAAGCTTTTGTCGCTGTCGCGATCGCTGTCGCTGTCGCATTGGTCGATCAATGGTGCGGCGAGGCCCTTACGAGAAGGTCCCAAAGGTCGTGGGTTGAAGGCCCTCGGTCGAATCAGATCAATTCACAGTCAGAGATTACCCCCAGAGAAAGCAAGACGTCTGAAGTACTTCGCAGTGTAGAGGGGGGCCAGTCCCACTTTCCCTGATTCTTGGGTCCTGGCCGTCAGGATCTTCGTAATCGACGGACAGAAATAGTCGAACCAGCTTTTTGGAAAAGAGAGAGGAGTCCTTCGGGACAGAGAAGATTAGCATGGCCCCTGGGGCCAAGTCCCACTAGCACCGTTGAGCTACCTCAACGCCCGAATCTGGACGTTTTTGCGGACATGTGCAGAAATGATGTTGAGTTTCCTGAACTGCACGTCTCCACAAACACGTCCAGATTCAGGCGTTGAGGTAGCTCAACGCTGCTAGTGGGACTTGGGCCCTGCGCAAGGATGACAGGCATAAATCGAGACATGGTCCAAATAATGTAAAAAAAAAAGAAAAAAAAAGAGAAAAAAAAAGAGAAAGGAAGTGGGTGAGGGTCACTGATCGTTTGGCTCTGCCTCTTCTCTCAATTTCACGTCACACTACCTACCTACCTACCTACCACTACTTCTCATTGTAGCACAGCGATCATGCTATTCTTTTTTCAAACCACACTATATTCTCCTCCTGCAATCGAATCTTTCCTTTTCCCCYCCCCCCCCCCAAAAAAAAAAAAATCTTTCCCTTTTTCTTTTTCTTTTCTTCTTCTTTTCTTTTCCTTTTTCTTTTTCTTTTCGTTTTTTTTTTTTTTTTTCTTTTCTTTTTCTTTTCTCTTTCTTTGGGACCCCAATCGAATCTACTGTTTTTTTTTGTTGTCCGTTTTTCGGTTTAATTTGTAACCTTTTGAACAGTTCCCACGTCGACGATCACGTTGGCTGAGCTGAAGAAGAACCTGACTGAAGAAGGAAGGATGTCGTCCTGAAGGTCACCTGCGCATCTACCCCTGTGCTCATCTACCCCTGCTCATCTACCTGCTCCCCATAGTCCGGTATGCTGCTGCGGCGTAGTACGTAGTATCCGTTCTCCCTCTCTGTCATCGCTGCAGCCGTCCCCGCAGCCGCCGCGCGGCAATGCTTGCACAGCCACAGCCGCGACGGTCCGCTCTTACCACCGGTTTGTCAAAGGAGGTGAGGACAGGTGATCTCTTATTGTCCAACTCTCCTACTCTCCCGCTCTGCTACTCTAACGGCCGCTCTGTTTGCCCCTCCTCTTCTTTCTCCTCTTCCTCTTCACGCCCTCCCCTGCCTGTCTATCTGCGGGATTTTGATCTTGGTGTTCGGCTTGTTGGGCTTATGGCGGGCTGTCTCAAAAACAAAAAGAGAAAAGAGGGTTCATGGTCGCATTTGGTTTCCTGAGGGGGAGATGCGAACTCGACGAAGGGAAAGGCATGAGGAAAGACAATGGAACACACACAGAGAGAGGCACAGAGAGAGAGAGAGAGAGAGAGAGAGAGAGAGAGAGAGAGAGAGAGAGAGAGAGAGAGAGAGAGAGAGAGAGAGAGAGANGAGAGAGAGAGAGAGAGAGAGAGAGAGAGAGAGAGAGAGAGAGAGAGAGAGAGAGAGGAGCAAATAAAGAGCGCGAGTGTTGTAACGAAAGATAGAGAGGGAGGAAAGGGCGGAGAGGGGGACGGGAGAGGGGGAGAGGGGGAGAGGGGGAGAGGGAGGTGGTAGGTAGAAGTAGCACGGATGGAGGAGGAGGTTTTACTGCAAAGAGGAGGTATGCAGCACTGAGACAATTGCTTGGGAAAGAAGTGCTGGCGTGTTCCCACTCTAGGACGCTGTTTTTCTGACCGAATGTGGCTGCCATTGCGATCACATTCCTTTGAGAAACTCCTAGTGTGTGTATCCTTGAGCCCTTATTAGCGCTGCCGCTGCTTTTCGTTTCTGACCTATTCAAGCAGGTCTTTCTTATCTCTTCTGTCCGACTTCTTTCTCCTATCCTCGTCGTCTCACGCCATGTTTTGTTTTCCCGCCTCCTTGCCTCCTCCTCCTTTCCTCCTCCTCCTTTCCTCCTCCTCCTTTCCAGCCCCTCCTCCTCCTGCTGCTGCTGCTGCTTCTCAAGAAGAGTCTTTCTTCTGGCGGGGAACCGATGCCAGGCAAGAGCTAACGGCGAAAGCTGATGACGACGGAGGAAAAATAAATAAGCAAACAAAATTAATAAATACAAAACAAATAAACGAATAAATAAATAAATAAATGAATGAATAAATAAATAAATAAATAAATAATAGAAAGGGCGGGAGGGATGTTGGTTGGCGGGAGAGGATGAGGATGAAGCGAGAGGATTTGCGCGGGTGTCCACGCAAAGAGATGAAGCGCGGGAGGAGGCGGCGAGGAGCAGAAGAGCTGGAGTAAGAAAAAAAAAAAAAAAAAAAAAAAGGAGGTGGAGTAAGAAGAGGTGGAGTAAGAAGAGTGGAGGAGGAGCGTAAAAGAGCGCAGGTGTTTTTTTTTTTTTTTTTTTTTTTTTAATTTTATTTCCGGTCGCGAAAGAACACAGGTAGTTGAAAATTGCTGCGGGCGTTTCGGTAGAGAACTGAATATTTTTCTGAAAATTTAATGATTTCCAGATTTCGAAGGCACCAAGAAAAGAGATCTTTCACTCAAAAAATCAAGGCCGAAAATAAAAAAATATACGTAATTAGAATTTTTTTTGTGAACGAGCTACCCCCGCAATGGCCATGTCCACCGGTCTTAAATTTTAAACAAAATAAAAAATTTTAAAATAAAATTGAGCATTTACTAAATTCAAAAATGTGTCCTTTTAGACCACTAGTACCTCCGCCAGTTTGGGAAAATATGAAAAAGTGGCAGTTTTCCCGAACTCCAAAAAATCCCCACTCGGCAAAGGTGCTACCGTCTTCCCCCGAATACAACGCACCCTCATTTTGGCTGTATCTGGCCGGAAATATAACTTCTATACATTCATTTTAAGAGTGGGTTATGTTCGGGGGAAGACGGTAGTGGCTTAATTTTTATTTTTTTTTCTTTTCTTTTCTTCTCATAGTGGCTTAATGACCTGAACGAGAGAAGCAATGTTGGATCCTGAGGGCGTTCTCACGCTAGGATTTTCCAGGATGTATCTGACGGGAATTACAGCCTCTCATGGATGTTTCTGACCGTAATGACGTCCAGAGTTCAGTTGAAGGATTCTTAGTGCGAGCAAATCCACGGGATCTCGCCGCCCGGCACATGGAACGGAAAAAACAAACTAATGCCCCTGCCCACTGAAAATGTCGAAGGTACATTTGTTTATATTCGTAGTAACGGATGTATCTCGCGGTCTTCTTGGGGAAGATGCACTCGTTCTTTTTCCGTGTCATCTGCCGTGTGCCGAGGCCCGCGGTTAAGAATCAGGGCTCGTGGGGAAAGGAAAACAAACGAGAGAAATTAGGGGTTCTTTTGATTTGATTGATTGATTGATTGATTGATTGTTTGCCTTCACTCACTGATTGGTTGGTTTCACTCATTGATTGGTTGGTTTACCTATCCACTCGAAAACGTCGAGTGATGGATTGATTAGATTGATTGATTGATTGGTTGCCTTCACTCACTGATCGATTGGTTGGTTGCCTTCACTCACTGATTGATTGGTTGGTTGCCTTCACTCACTGATTGATTGGTTGGTTGCCTTCACTCACCGAATGATGGATTGATTTGGTTGATCGATCGATCGATCGATTGATTGATTGATTGATTGATTGATTGATTGATTGATTGATTGGTTGCCTTCACTCACTGATTGGTTGGTGGTATAGGACAGCGGAGGACGTACTGCCAGCGGAGCAAGGTGGAGGGAGCCCAAGCCATCGTCGGGATCGCCGTTGGTGTAGTACGAGACGACGATTACTACTACCCAGAGAGATTGATACCTGGTGCAGATATGGCGGCTGCGCTATGGAGTTCTTGTTCATTGGCGACTTCATCTTCATCTTTGTTGTCCCTTCTTCTGCCATCGCTGGAGCTTGAAGGGCTCGGAGTCATTAGCAAAGCTCTTTCATCTCTCAGTTGGTGGAGAATTACCGCTTTCGTCTTTTCTGTCCTTCTCCTCACTCTGTACGTCGAGTTGGATTTCCATTTCGTCGGCGATGCGCTGCGTTTATTCCGACCTTATCCAGTCCGATTAGTGTTCGATCCGACGTCCAAGCTGGCAGAGCAAATTTTGTCAAAGTGTTCGTTCGCTGGGGGAAAGTTCAAGCCGACGCCATGGATGTGCAGTCCCCACCTCCAAACCTTCTTTCTCCATCGATTGTCGGACGCACCGGCCATCGCTTACACACGCGAGCTTCTGCGCACGAGCGATGGCGGCACAATAGCGCTAGACTGGGCAGATCCTCTCGTTCCTCCGACCTCCTCTTCATCTCCATCATCACTCTCCTCCTCCTCCTCCTCCTCCTCCTTCTCCAGTAGAACGGGTGCGATAGGAGATCAAGAAAATGCCATCTCTCGACGAGATCGAATCTCTGCTACCTGTTCTTCGTGTCATTGCCGATCTAAAGCAGAGGCCGACGTAGTAGTACTCCGACGCCGCGGACAAGGAGAAGGAGGAGGAGGAGGAGAAGGAGGAGGAGGAGGAGGAGGAGAAAGAGAAGGAGGAGAAAGAGAAGGAGGAGAAGGAGGAGGAGGAGGAGGAGGAGGAGGAGGAGAAGGAGAGAGAGGTCAAGCAAAAGGGGGAAGAAAGAGGGAAACGGAAGATGGTTTCTTGCAATGTGACGGCTATGGTGCTCGTTGTCGATCTGACGATGGGAGAGAAGAAGCAGAATGGAAAAGAGGAAACCAAATGGATAAGGATGAGTATGATGATTATAATCACCGTCACCGGCAGCAGGAGGAGGAGGAGAAGCAGGTGGTCGAGGAGGAGGAGGAGGAGGAGGAGAAAGAGACGACTCCTCTGGTTGTCATTGTGCCTGGCTATCTGAGCAGCTCCAGCAATGCCTACGTTCGTCGGATCGTGCATGCCTGCGGATCCAACGGCTGGCGTTCCGTCGTCGTCAATCATCGCGGATTGGGTGGTGTATCGTTGACCTCAACGGTATTTTACAACGCGGGATGGACGGATGATCTTCGGTTCGCGCTCGCTCATTGCCGCCGACGGCGGCCTCGATCGCCAATCCTCGCGGTCGGGACCAGTCTGGGCGCCAACATCTTGGTGAAGTATTTGGGAGAGGAGGGTGATAACTCTCTCGTCTCGGCCGCTGTGGCCGTCAGCTGTCCGTTCGATCTGCTCGTCTGCGACCGCCACATGAACCGCTCCGCTCTCTACCGCATGTACAGCAAACTGCTCACTCACGGCCTACGCTCCTTGGCCCACGTGCACAAGGAGAAATTTTCTGAGGTCGCAGATTTCGCTGCCTTATCCAAATCCCTTACCGTTAGAGAATTCGACGACCGACTTACTCGAATCGGCAAGTTCCAGACCGTCGATACCTATTATAGGAAATCTAGTTCCTCCCAATTCGTGCTGTCAGTCGCTCGCCCGCTGCTCTGCATCAACGCTCTGGATGATCCTATCTGTTCGAGAGAGGCCATTCCTTGGGACGAGTGCAAGTCGAATCCAAACGTCATCTTAGCGACGACGAAGAGAGGTGGTCATCTTGCTCATTTCGAAGGATTTCGAGGAAACCGGCTATGGTGGATGACACCGGTCGTGGAGTTTCTTGATGCTTCCCTCTCCCTCTACTTGTCTTCAACGAGAGAAGGAAAACCCTCCTCCTCCTCCTCCTCCTCCTCCTCCTCCTCCTCCTCCTCCTCCTCCTCTTCTTCGTCGGATAGAAGTTCTTCGAAGGTATCATCCCTTTAAAAAACAAGCCATGGCAGAGAAGCGAAGCGAGAGAACATCCTCTCCCTCTCCCTCTTCCTCTCCCTCTCCTTGTCATCAACGAGAGAAGGACAACCCTCCTCCTCCTCCTCCTCCTCCTCTTCTTCGTCGGATAGAAGTTCTTCGCCGGTATCATCCCTTTACAAAACAAGCCATGGCAGAGAAGCGAAGGGAGAAGGGAGAGAACATTCTCGCTTCCCCTCTCCTTCCATTCCATGGCGGACGAATGCAAGTCGAATCCAAACGTCCCCTTATCAACCACGAAGAGATGTGGTCATCTTGCTCATTTCGAAGGATTAAGGAAACCCGCTATGGTGGATGACACCGCGCGTGGAGTTTCGTGATGCTTCCCTCTCCCTCTCCCTTTCCTTGTCTTCAATGAGAGAAGGACAACTCTCCTCCTCCTCCTCCTCCTCTTCCTCCTCCTCCGCCTCCTCGTCGTCGTCGTGGGATAGACGTTATTCGCCGTTATCATCCCTTTAGAAAAATGGCGAATAACGGCAGGGCATTGCCATGGCAGGGCAGAGAAGCGAAGAGAGAGAGAGCGTTCTCGCTTCCCCTCTCCTTGCTTATTCAACAAGGCAATCCTCCTCCTCCTCCTCCGCATTTCCGTCGTCATCGTTTTTGGAAAAAAAAAAAGAGAAAGTGGCGCTGGTAATCGTCGTTCGCTTCTCTGGAGTGGCTCTTCTGAAGTGTGCGGCCTGTCCCCGACAAAGGCGAAGCTTGGGAGGAGAATGGCTATTGCGGATTTCGAAGTCGAAGGCTCTGCTTGGGAGGAGAATGGCTATGGCGGATTTCGAAGTCGAAGGCTCTGCTTGGGAGGAGAATGGCTATGGCGGATTTCGAAGTCGAAGGCTCTGCTTGGGAGGAAAATGGCTATGGCGGATTGGGATTGGACCCGCTCGGTAGCCATCGCCGCTCTTCGGTACTTAGTCGTCGTTTTTCGCTTCTCTTCAATGGCTATCAAAGTGCGTATCGTCGATACCTGACAAGGCCGAAGCTATGGTGGATTTCGAAGGCTCTGCTTGGCAGGAGAATGGTTATGGCGTTCCGTTTGTCGAAGATTACAGCCTTTGATGCTTACCCCCTGCCCCTGTTGAGATCACAGCCCTCTCTACCTATTTGGACAGCCCCTACGCATCAACACGCTTGGGACAAAGCGCAGGCGGAAGGGTCCGCAGGTATCAGCGGGACAAAGCACGGAGTCCCAGCGGGAAGGGTCCGCAGGTATCAGTGGGACAAAGCACGGAGTCCCAGGGGGAAGGGTCCCCAGGTATCAGTGGGACAAATAACAGAGTCCCACGGAAGAAAGGTTGACGATCGGCTCCCGTGTGCGACACGGCATGTGCTCTACTCCGAGGAGATCAGGAAAAGCTGTCCGTCTTCTCATCGGCCTTCGGCTTGTAGGCTGCCTATATTGCACTTGAGGCTCATCAGGTTGTTTGTCTGCACACGTGCGCGAACGGAGGCAGCGAGGAGAGAGAGAGAGAGAGAGAGAGAGAGAGAGAGAGAGAGAGAGAGAGAGAGAGTGAGAGAGAGTTGTGTATGTGAGTACACTTTGTGCAAATGTGGGGTATTTGCGTGAGCATGTGAGGTAGACCGGTGGCAGCTAGCTAGATAGAGAGAGGCGAGAGGTAGACGAATAGACACAGCTGTGTTTGTTTTCATTTCTGTGTACATGTCCGGTGTAGGGGTGTGTGTTTTGTGTGTGTGTGTGTGTGTGTGTGTGTGTGTGTGT